TTGTTGAGTTTTTGGTGTTCTCTTTATATTCTGGATATTAATCCCTTATGCAGAAAGTGATTTGCAAATATTTTCTTCTATTCTGTGAGTTGCCTTTTTACTTTATTGATAGTATTTTTTGATTAACAAAAGCTCTTGGGGTGCCTGGGTGGCTCAGTCATTGGGCGTCTGCCTTCGGCTCAGGTCATGGTCCCAGGGTCCTGGGATAGAGCCCGCATCGGGCTCCCTGCTCTGCGGGGGGCCTGCTTCTCACTCCCCCCTCCCCCTGCTTGTGTTCCCTCTCTCGCTGTGTCTCTCTCTGTCAAATAAATAAAGTCTTTAAAAAAAAAAAAAAGCTCTTAATTTTGTTGAGGTTTAATTTGTCTGTCTTAATTTTGTCTTAATTTTGCCTTTGGTGTCCTATCCAAAAATCATTGCAAAACCCAGCATTGTGAGGCTTCTCCCGCCTAAGCTTTCTTATAAGAGCTTAATTTTTTTTTTTATCTTTATAGGGTTGAACTTTGGAGAGAACCAAGCAAATCTTTGGGCATCAGCATTGTTGGTGGAAGAGGCATGGGGAGTCGTCTAAGCAACGGTGAAGTGATGAGGGGCATTTTCATCAAACATGTTCTTGAAGATAGTCCAGCTGGCAGAAATGGAACCTTGAAACCTGGAGATAGAATAGTAGAGGTACCCTCTAGTGAGCTTTCTGTGCCTAAGTTCTTCACCTGTTCCGTCCTCTTTACTAAGGGAATCATCATCTTTATACTGGTCACTTGACCCAACGTGAAATTAAAATGTTTTATGGTTAAAGCATTTCTTTCTTATATGTCCCATTTCATCCATAATTTTTCTCTTTAGTGCATTGTGACAGATTATATATCTTGATTCAGAGACTGATGTTTGGAGATCTAACCGTTTTAAAAAACATTGGCCCTGAGTTAAAATAATGAAGTTCTATTTGAAAGAACAAAGCAAATTTCCTGGGGAAAAAATGGAATTGTTTGAAATTATGTATACATGCACAAAATATATACATCTTATCTAAGTTCTCCAGTGAGATTTTATTTTAAGAAATGCTTTGTCATGATCATTTCATTGTAGATTAACTTTGTTGGGTAAGATTGTTTTCCAAGTGAGTCTTTACGGTAAATCTTTTATGCTAATTACCCTGATTATCTTTTACATAAATGCTCCCACCCCCACAATCCAGGCTCAGATTTTCCTCCTCCTTCTTCTCAGTGCTGTGCCCATTCATCACTGAGGAGTGTGTGTGTGTGTGTATTTACACACTCATGTATGTGTAACTTTGGTATGTGCAAGAGAAGTATTTGGTCAAATTGTTCCTAATCTCTTAATTCAAATCAAAATATAATATTTTAAATGGACTTTTCTCCATGGTCACTACTCATTTGCTCAGCAAATATTCCTGGAGCACCTGTTGCGTTCCAGGTGCTATGACATGCTCGGGGCATTCCGCAGGAAACAAGCACCATGCTTGCTGTCAAGTGTGACAGACTTAACAAGTCATCAAGTCACTTCAGAACAGTGTGATAAATTATTTGATCAGGGAAAGTGTAGTTTTAGTTAAGAGGGTAGAGGGAGGGTACCTGACCCAGATTTGCTAAGTTGTCAGGATTTATAGAGTAGAGTAAAAGAGACAACTTCCCAGTAGAAACCAATCACTTTATTGCTATAAGGACCATTATATTTACTTTATACAAGTGATTGTCTCTCATTTTCTAAATCCATATAACTTACCATTAAAATGCATTAATTTCATAGAAGAAGGCTACAACATTTTAACCACAACTTTAAAATGAACATTTTTAGGATTTATTTATTTAGTCCTTTACTGGTTGATTGTGAGAGCTGAAGACGAGGAAGATTGAGGCTTGGGAGGACACAAGGGTCATGTCTGTTTTGTCTTGTTTTTATCTCCAACCGTTTGGAAGAAGAATGATGGGCTTGTTCTCTCTTCCTGCATCCTTACCTTTCATTAGGGGATATCTTAGCCCCTTTTTAAAGAACTCTTATTTAGGATACTATCTAAAGTTCCCAATTTCAGATTATCACAGGGCAGTTTATTTTATGGCTAATTCACTGTGAATTATCAGCACCTTTGACCTAAGGAGAAAAAGTAAGAAATATTTATAATTATATCTGGAAAGGATTGATCACAGTTGGCACCAAAATGTTGTTTAAATGTACTGAGGGAGTTAAAGCATCCCTTTCAAATTGAAAAGGTATTTTGTGTGTGTGTGTGTTGCAAAGTACTCTGTGCTATTTAGCAGTGGTTTGTTGAGGGCTGTTATGTACGGGGACTTTTCTAGTAAGTAAGAAAGCTTAGGCCTCTGTAATCCTGGGGATTCGGAAACCTACGTCTGCCAAGTATTTAGACTAGACTAGTCGAGACCTACCAGGTATTCCATTCTAAGTATATAGAGTTCTTTGGACTTGAGCAAAGATACTTAATGTCCTATTAAATGTTTCCACAAATGGAATATATAATAGACATGAGTACTAACTTTTATTCTACAAAAAAATGAAAGCCATTTTTAATATGCACTGAAATGCATATTACATTATCCAAGTATCAACCTGGGGAGGTTTTCAGTTAAATGTATGTAATTCTTTTAAAGGTGATAATGTTCTATGCAGAGATCTAATAATTAATTTTCTTTTCCAGAATTGTGTCTACTCTGATTTTGCTATTTTGTTATATATATCCTATTGTGTGATAATTGGAAATGATAAAATGATAATAGTATCCTATAGTTTTCTGGCAGGATTAGCATTTGGCCTTTCAAACTATTTTCCTTCCTATTCATATAGTATGTTAGCTGGGCTGATTATCACCCAGGCAATCCATGGTCAATAAAAAGTTACAAAATAACATTCATTTTCAAGCTGTTTATAGAAGAATTACTAACAAGCACAATTTCTTGGCTTCCAGCTCCTATCATGTCTACTACAAAGATTCTTCTGCAAAACTAATCTTGCCATAACCTGATTTTTCTGAACATCAGAATTTTATTTTTCACTTCAAGCTTCCCTGTACAGAGAGAAACACACAAAGCATCGCCCACCCATTTCCCAAACTAGTCTATAATGGATCGGGAGAAAATGTGTACAGTGACTTTCATGCGAGGCAGTTCCCTTATATTATTTCTTTAATGATTTTGATTTATTGAAGGAACAACGGATAGTGTAAAGAAAGCAGAAGCAGAGCCTTCATGTCAACTGATGATTATTTCAGTTGGTTTTGGACCCAGAAATCAGGGTCCAAAATAAGGGACCACAATCTGCTGGACAAATGCAAAGTTCTGGAATCTCACAAGTAGTCTCAATTATTTTTGATTCTGAAACAGATTTTCCAGGAGCCTCACCCAGGATCCTCAGAACTACAGATCCACAAATTGTTCTGTTGTTCTATAGCTTCTTGAAATGTTAAGCTGAGGCCTTCCATTGCAGGTGGATGGAATGGACCTCAGAGATGCAAGCCATGAGCAAGCTGTGGAAGCCATTCGGAAAGCAGGCAACCCCGTAGTCTTTATGGTACAGAGCATTATAAACAGACCAAGGGTAAGCGAACAAAAAGGGCAAGGTAGGCAAATCCAAACAATGTTCAACTTGGAGTCTAATGTATCAAGGGCCAAGTTGTCTCTAGGAGCAGATATCCAGTCTTGAAATCTCAGGGGACTTGTTAAAACTTTATATTGGTTTTTGTTTTTTGTTTTTTTTTGAGTTGTCCTGGAAATCCCTTCTACCGTGTTTAATAAACACTTCAAGTCTATTAAAAACATACAGAAGTAGGATCCATTGGTGGCCATAGGTATCTAGATGGATAATTATTAGTATTCACCATAGTCACAAAATATATGTTGTTAAGAGGAATGTGGTAGAATGACTTAGCTTACTAGTGTATGACCTCTGAGTTCCTGAGAAGCCAGAGAGATTACATTTTCTTATGTATATATCCTCTGGACAGAATTTCCAATGTATGCAATCCCATGATCACCTGTGAATCATCTTGAATGTATTTATCTGTCCCACTGAACATTCTACATAGTGGAAATTTAAGCAGTATGTTTATATAGGAATGATTTCATAACTGCTGCTTCCCAGCCATGATCACTGTATAGCTCTTCATCACTGGATAGCCCCCTGTGGACAGAAACCTACTAACCCATTTTACCATCAGGCATGACAGGTAAAATGGCTTTAAAAATATTTTAGAAAGTACAGTGGATGCATTTAATTAATGTTGTTGATGGAGAAGATACTAAGCGAGTCTTTGTGTATTTGATATGCCCTAATGATTCTGAAGATGAAAATTATGCCAAGAGTTTAAAACTACTTTTTTACTATTCCTTCTTTATGTCTCAGTGAAAAAGATTATTTGCATATGCAGCAGTTCTTAAGCATATTTGGGCCACATACCCCTTGGAAAGTTCTTCAGAAACATACGTGTTCACTGAAAAGTTTGTGTATCATTTTAGGAGCTTCCTAGATGTTCTGAAACTCATAGAGGTTCTACTTCTGGATTTTAGTGAAAACAAAACAACCCCTGTCATAGTGATTCTCTTTGAAACAGCTGCTCATTAGCTTTGAGGTTTGGTTGTCTTTAAAAGGAAAATGTCAGCATATGTGAGGGAAATTAAAAGAACCATCTAAAACTTTAAAATACATAATTATTTTGTAGTTTATCATTTTAAAATTAAGAATATAAGAAATCAGTGCTCAAATGATGGAAAAAGAGTAGCAAACAGCTCTGTAGCCGAGATCAGTAAAAGTAACTTGTCAGTCTTCTGTGCAATGGAATTCAAAGTGACCAAATTTATCCTGTTGGTCCTTCCTTTTGTTGTCAAGACAGGTGTAGCTGTGGTCTGGGTTTACTGTAAGAAATGAATTTAGTAGTTCTTAATGTAAGCAGTTATCTTCACATCTGCAGTTTTTAATCATTCAGTTGTTTATTGTTAGGTAATAATTATCCATTCAGATGAGAAAATCTGCCAAATGGTCGGGCTGCATCATGCTGCATTCTCTTCAAATGGTATTCAGTTTGTTTAAATAACTACAAATCTTTCCACATTTGTTTCCATTTGTTGTGTCAAACATAGATACAGCACGATGGTATTGGTGAATGGCTGTTTAAGTTAAAACAGTTTTTTTTGTGTGTGTTTTATTCCTTTTGTTTTATTTTTAATTTCCAACTTTTATATCATGTAGGACCATACTGTAAACTGCTGAATAGGATTCTTCATAGTACTTTTAAAAACTTAAACTACAAACATTTCTTTCAATGCCAGTCACATTTTCTAATGAGCTGGGAAGATATTTTTCTCATACACCTGGAAAATATTCCTGTTTTACTGTCTGAGGTATAATGACACTTGATTTTATAGCAATTATTCCAGGAGAAATCTTGCCTAGAGTGACATGTTTAGTCAAGTTACATGTGACAGGATTCAGGGCACACTGCCCCAAAATAGGGCACACTGGCATATTGAATATTTTAAGCTGAAGGAATTTAGGAAAAGACAGCTGCTGGAATGATTCAGACCTCCCCCTTCTCCTCTGATTCAGGTCATAAAAACCCTCATGTGAAAGGTGCCTTCCCCGTACCTGGAGGAAAGGAACATCCTTACCTTCAGAGATGCAGGGGTACTGGGAGGGACCTGAATGAACACACCTTGCTAAGTTTTCCCCCGTTTCCCCACTTAGCTCATATTCTTTTGTCCTGTCAAATTTCCCTGACTTTCCTACTCTTCAGCAAACCTAGTGTCAAAATACTCCTCTTTAACCATTTCTTCAGGTCTTCACTATCTTTTGAAGGCTGTGTGTCACATAAAAGTTAACATTAAATCAATACATATATATACTTTTCTCTTGTTAATCTGTTTTTTATTACAGAGATCCAGCTGAGAACCTAAGATGAATAGAGGAAAGATATTTTTCCTCCTCTGCATATGCATTCAGCTTTGAGAAATCAGAATTACTTTTGCATTTAAAATGGGATATACTGGATTTTCAGTGATTTACTTCCTTGTGAAATAATCATGTCTCCAGTAATCTAAATGAAAAAAAACAAAAAAACAAAAAAACACAAATACATAAGAGTCTCTCAATGGAAAATGTTTTATTTGTAGATGCAATAAAACTTCAAAAAAAATCTCATAGATAGGCTGAAAAGACAGTCTCTTTGGCACATAGACTATTCAAGAATCAGAACTTCGCAGAACTGAGAATAATAATAATAGTAATATTTAGTAATAAATTCCATACTTACTGATTTATTACTGACCATTCCATCAGTTGGACCACATTGTCTTCCCAAAGAGTAGGCCCTATTAATATGGGCCAGAGAATGTTTTTGTCTTCCCTGTGCTTCTTCTTAGTTAATAATATTTCCATTCCTATCAGCCCTTAGAACTATAAACAGGAGTTTCATCACTGATTTTTTAATAAGAAATATGGCCTGTTTCTGTAATTCTTTTCATAGTAATAGATCTACCACTTCATTTGCTGTGCTCATGCTGTACTTTTATACTTTGCTATCAGGGCCAAATTCTAATCCTATAAGAGCTGGAAATTGAAACAAATAAAAAAGCAAAACAAAAAACTAGAGCTCTCTCTAAATATTCCATTTCTTGCCATTATGGTTCTATTTTTTTATTGTTCTACAGAATTATAAAGGAAATAAAAAGCCTAAAAATTCTATGTATGAGGATTGGAAATAATTTTCTCCTTCCATAGCACTGAGTTATTTTGCCTAGAATATGTTTTTAATCTCTGCCTAGTCATTTTTTCCACCTTAATAAATGGTCGTGTTCCTTGGCATTTGTGGTCTTTTTCTTTTGTAAAGCAGGAGTTGACATTTAAACTGAAAAGCAGAGAGAAAGTTGAGATGAGCAGAAATGTCATTGTGCCCATTTCTTTTTCCCGTCTTCCCTCTGTAGGAAAAACATTGCAAGAAGAGCAGATTGAAAGGGTAATGTGGCGTAAGCTTTAGTGCAGGCGTACGGAGGATGGAGTCTTTCCAGAGTGTTCTCCCAGACAGGGTGGTGTCACATGACAACCTCTCCCTACTCTTGATGCTTGCCAGTAGGGCTTTTTTATAGACAGAAGTAACACAAACATTTAATTGGAGCCAAAATGAATTTTAAATGTCTGCAATTTCCCCTGAAAGATACAGTCAATAAAAGAAAAAGATAGCGGGTATGAAAAGAAGAAGAATTTATTGTGCTGAGGAAATTACTTTCCTTTTTTTTTTTTTTTTACTATGAAAATGCTAAAGTCTATCTGGCAGTCATCCTGCCTTTAATATGTATATTCAACTCCAATAGTCCTAGCTCAGGGCATATCTCAAGCAAGCACAAAATCTATGAGAATCACTCTAAGCCAGGACTTCTAATATATTCAAAGCCTCATAAATTCCCCCTAATATGGGAACTTTTATAGGTAAATTAAAAAAAAAATCAATGTTTTTACTCCACAAAAAGTGGGTAGAAATCGAGAACACCCACTGAACAGTGGTTCATTTCTTTAAAATTGTTGATTTCTTTTTTTTTTTAATGAAAAACTACCATTGATTTGAAGCCACCTTAATCTCTAGCCTAAATACGAAAATTTTCCTTCCTGGGAAGCAAGATAAAAGAATCATGAAGGTTACCAGTGAACTAGCAGACAAATGTTTAATTTGCATTCTGGAACAGATAGACCATCTTTTTATTTTACAAAAAAAGCATAATTTGCTTTTAAATGTAAACCAAAAAATTACGGCTTTAATTTTGATACCTGTTTACTGATATGCGTGGAACATAGATAGATACATAAAGTGGGCAAAATTTATGTACATCTCTCTGTGATAGTGAAAATAAAAGAAATTTGGTATCAGTTTCCCAAACTCATTTCCTTTGTGGCCAGATTGAGATTCAGGTGTAGATGCAGATCACTAGAGGTATACGACTGTTTAATGTGACGTTGTTATCAATCTCTAGATCTGACAGGATCTGGTTTCACACTGTTATTTCAATCAGTACTTTGTTCTTAAAACTGAGTTGTGTTAAATACATTTCTTTTGCGCTCAGCGCCTCTTATGTTTCCTTTTAGAAATCCCCTTTGCCTTCCTTGCCGCACAACCTTTACCCTAAGTACAACTTCAGCAGCACTAACCCATTTGCTGATTCTCTACCGTTCAACGCTGACAAGGTTGGATAATGCCATTGTCTTGCCATTGCCTTTTGCAAATGTTTTGTTCTTTGTTACTATGCCTTTGTCCTAGTTCACTGTTTACTAAATTTGGGCAGGGAAGAAAACAAAACAAAACAAAACTGTGTGTTTGGAGTGGGCATGCAAATCCTTTCTTAAGCACATTTTTTTTGCCAGAGCATATTCATTTTTATAGCTGAAATTAGATGGCCCTCCTGAACAGTAAGGGAGAATCGTGAGTCCAATGCCTTTCCTCAATTTTGTTGTGAGTTAAATTTTCTGATATTTAAATTTTTGCTAATTGCCAAATATATGAACTACTTTCACACGAAAGTTATTTGAAGCCTTGTATTGGTTTAATCCTTCTCAGACTTCTACAAAGTGGTCCTAAAAGCCCTTCTGTGTGTAAATCACTCCACAAATAATTGCATATATGAAGGAGTGTGTTGAATGTTCATAAAGTGTGTCCATGTAAATGCCTGATTCAGGAAATATATAACTGTTTCAATGCTTGTAAACCTAGACGTGGATATTCTCATATAATGATGAAATTTCAAATCCAAAATGAAACAAAAACTTACAAGAACTTGCATATTATAATTTGATCATGATAAGGAAGAAAGCTTTCAACAATTTCAGGAAGCACTTTATGAATATTCATTGGATTTTCATGTTACTGTAATATGGATAACCAAAGATGCTGTATCTGAAGGAGTATGTTTTCTGTTACTATAGGAATTACAGAATTCAAGTAGAGTTACCTTCCGTTGTTCCCCAACTAACCCTTTTGCTCCCACACCATTTAAGGTTTGTCTCAGTGTGAAATGCTCGTGAATAAGTAGGTGTGTTATGGTGTGCTATGTGTGTATGTTATACCTGTATGCATACATGGCATGGAGTGATTTCAAGTGCACTTTGTATATTTTTGCCGATGTAGGCTAAACGATCTTTGTTAAAGAGTTCTATTTTCATTAATAATTTTTTTATGTGGCAAAATTTTTTAATTTTTTTATTTTCAATTAGCCAACATATAAGTACATCATTAGTTTTTGATTAAGAAGTGTCAACAATAAACTAATTACATGATCTGATTGAGAATGAAGGTTTACACCTAATTGCCCCTTTTTGTAAGTACAGACTCGTATTTTTTTATGATTAGTCAGTAATGTTAGGATGCCATTTTAGTTTACTCACAGTATGAAAACGTTGTGCCTAAGAAAAGTCTTGAACAATTTTTTAGACGGGAAGGTTTTGTTTTTGTTTTTGTTTTTTAAGGTAAATGGCAGCTAAGGAAAGTTATGAAGCAAGACCTATTACATTTGCATCCATAAATTTATTAAAATTATGGGAAGTTTAAATCAGATTTTGTTCCCCTTTTTAAAAATCAAATGGGCTTAATTTATTCTTGCTAACATTTTCTGTTACGATAGAGAAGTATTTTTTTTTATTTTAACCAGAAAAAATGTAAATTACATACTATCCCCTGTCCCAACCTTAGTATGTTAAATGAACCTGGATTGGATCAAATGAGGTTTCTTGTTTTTTGGTCATTACATTTGTACACTGTTGATTTGAGAGTTTTATGGCACAGCATTTGAGAAGATGACAGGGTTTTGTTTGCCCTCGTACTTTATGTGTGTATGGCCAGTTGTGTGTAAACCAAACATTTTAAAACAGTAATTCTGTAACTTGAAAATCTGTTGCCTCTAAGTCTCTACCATTCAGCTCTCCTTTACTTTACTAGAAAAACAGTACTTGATGTTTATTAGGTTCATTTTGGGGCAGCTTAGAATCCTGAAGTGGTTTCTGAATCAACAAAGAAAGATCACATTCAGTGTTATAGTTTTAGTATTAGGTATATTTTGTGGTATTCTGATTCTTGACACCAATTAATAATTCCTAAATATTTGTTCATGATTATCGTTTGATGTGTTCTATAGGAAGTTTGTTTATTTATTTTTGATCTTTTAAAGATTTTATTTATTTATTTGAGAGAACAGAGGGAGAGGGAGAAGCAGGCTCCCTGCTGAGCAGAGAGCCCGATGCAGGGCTCGATCCCAGGACCCTGAGATCATGACCCCAGCTGAAGGCAGACAGCCAGGCTCCCCGGGAAGTCTTTTTAAATTGCAGTCTTTTTCCACATACACACATGTATATCAAAATGAGGTATATCAGAGGGATTTTTGTATGTTTAAAAGGTAAAGAAGGATAGGGAAAATGTAGTTTCAGGGTATCAGGGATAGCTTCATACCACAGCTAGAACTTTCATTGGGTATCTCTGTTGAATTCAGTACTCTCTTACTATGGAAATTAGAGGAGGTGGCATGGCATAATGGAAAGCTCATTGGATTAAGAATTAAGGCAAAAGAAATCTAGTACCAGTGTGATTTTGAACAAAATCTTCTCATGGCCTCACGTTTTTCATCTGCAAAGTGAATAAAATGAACTCAGTGACTTACGGGCCTTTCGAACACTAATATTCTATTTGATAATTATAATATAAGAACTTGATACCAAGTCCTTTTTTTGAAATAGGACCCATAGGCCCTCAGTGACAGCAAGTATGCCACACTTTGGGTTTGTAGCAGTGGTCTCTCATGTTTTCTCATTTACCTTGCGAGCTATCTTGGCAAGGGAAAAATGGTGTTGTTCCTTAAAACCAGCTCCTCAGATCTGAGTCTGTGTGCTCTGTGCTAACAAACTGGCTCCCCTGGTTGATGAACCTGCATGTGTAATGCTCATTTTCATGGGTTTGTTAAGGGAGTCATTTGGAGAGAAGATTCAGGTATCAGTGAAGAATTCTTTATATATATGTGTGTCCACATATATATATATATATACACATATATATATAAAGTCTGACCAGCAACCTCTGAACTTCTTTAATTGCTTGATTAACTTATTTGTTAATTTTGTTCTAGTTTCTTGGAAGACTTTTCTAGACGCACAAAATCTTACCCAGACCCCTGCGTATTTATGAAGACTTTTGAATGAGAGTTTTTTTCCAAAAGGGGGAGTTTGTACAATTTTTTCTATCTTAAGTCATTTAAGCCTTCAAATTGAAGAATTCATTGGCCTAAAATACCAAGTAACAGTTTAATGAATTATGCTCTGAACATATATTTTGTTTAGATTATTTAAACTTTACCTGAATCCTGTCTACCATTACATATATATATTTTTTCCATTATTTATGTGTCAGATATTTTAAAGCCAGTTTTTGTCATTATACTTTTATTTCTTAAATTTTTCTTCCTTGGACTGCACATATCCACTGCATTCTTCTTGTTCCCACAGGCACCCAGTCAGTCAGAATCAGAGCCGGAAAAGGCTCCATTGTGCAATGCGCCTCCGCCCCCTTCTTCAGCATTTGCAGAAATGAGCAGTGATCATACACAGTTGTCTTCTGCAAGCAAAATCCCAGAAGATGTGGACAAAGAGGATGAGTTTGGTTACAGCTGGAGTAAGTTGTCTTTTGTGATGCATTGAGTTATAAGAGACATAGAATAGCTTTGGGTTTCTCGAAGCCTATGTCCTGGTTGGATAAGCATGTTTCAGCTTTAGTTATACATACTGCAGTTTTGTTTGGAAAAAATACTGTTTGTTTTGCCTGAATACAGCACATGTTCCCAAGGCATGAAATCGTGTTCTTCCTTTCCCTTAAATGACCCTTCCTGCTAAAGCCCACTTTGCCATTGTGTGAGCATTAAAGAGAGCTGGGCACTCTCTCAGAAGGATCTGCCACCTGATGATCCTGAACAAGTCATTGCCCTTCTCCAGACCTCAGATTCCTCAGTGTAGAATCTGGCTGCTGGTGATATTTTGCCTTGAACCTCTGGCATTTTCTGTACTAGAGTGGTAACATGGAATAATTGTTGAGATGAAAACTTGGAGCGTTTGGCAAGTTGTATAACTACTTCTAAGTCTTTGCCTGGTGGCTACCCTTCTTTTGAAAACGCAGTCCTTACCCGAGGTTGCTAACATTAAATTGAAATGTCTGAGGAGTGCTAACCACAATGTCTGATGCACAGGAAGCATTCAAAGGCAGCTGGTATTAGGATCATTGGGGTGTCTCTTTTTTTTAATGAAATAAGCCTTTTTACAAGGAAATGGTAAAAATTTAGTGAAAAATTACCAATATATCAGTGCTTTAAAAAGTTTCATTTTGAAAGTATAATTATTTCCTTTAAGAAAGCATGGTATATGCTTTTAGGAAGTGTACAGGATGTGAAATGCTAGATTCTAGAAGGAATCAGGAAATGACAGTTTATAAAGTTGTGCAGTTAAGAATCAATATAGAATGTAAGACATCAGCTGCATAGTAACATTTTCTAAGAGATGATTTGTAAAGTTTGCGGTTTTCTAAGTCGATTTTCAGTTAAATAAGAGTATATTGCTAATCTATTGAGGTGGCCAGAATGTACTCTGAGGAAAACATGAGACAGAATGTCATGTCACAAGCCACCCCAAAACTTAATGCCATAAGGGAAAAGTTTATTATGGTGTCATGGTGTTGTGGTTGACTGGCCCAGCTGGGCTGGGCCTTCAGGCTGGTGCACTCATGGGGCTGGAAATTAGTGTTGGCTCCTGTGGGCTAGGGTACCTGCATGCAGCCTTGCCCTCTCAGATTCAAGAATAAATTCTACCTCTTGAACGTGTCGGATGGGAGAGATTAATGGTCTTATCTAATGTGTCCTAAAGCTGAGACAGGGACATTGACTTGTCCTGGCCTGATGGCTCTGTGCAATAGGAAAACGCATTCCCTTTATTCTGGATCTACATACCAAGCAGCTGCCCAACACGATGTGACACGCATGCCAATCTTCCTGTGGGAGAAAAAGTTCTGCTGATCAACGAAGATAAATCCTCTGAGTGCTTCTGTTCTTCTCTGCAAATGATTTTAATCAGAGTCTTTGGAGAGTTTGTTAATGTGAATCGCCCAGGTGAACTTATCAGTCAGACCCTCCACGCTCTGTACTCTGGATGGAAAGAAATTCCTCAGAGTTTGGGTACTCCCGGAAACCAGTCTTGATGCCTAGGTGGCCAGATTATTTAGCTTTTCGTAGCTGCCAAGGATTTACATTTGGTCCAAGTAATGCCTTTTGAAGCTAAATAACCTTCCATAGTAAAACATTGGCTGTAAATTAACTTTATACCTATAATTTTGTTGTTGTTATGTTGTTGTTGTTGTTGTTGTTTTATGTAGAAAATATCAGAGAGCGTTACGGAACCCTAACAGGAGAGCTACATATGATTGAGTTGGAGAAAGGTCGTAGTGGTTTGGGTCTAAGTCTTGCTGGGAACAAAGACCGATCCAGGATGAGTGTCTTTGTAGTGGGGATTGATCCAAATGGAGCAGCTGGAAAAGATGGTCGACTGCAGATTGCAGATGAGCTTCTAGAGGTAAGTTCTTGTGAAAGATGCTGAATTTACTCTTGCTGAATTGGTGCACTGGAATCATCAGTTTCCACCCGGGCCTCCTGTGGTGACTGAGAAAACTATTGCTTGCCTAATAAAATAGATGCACTGCAGCAAATTTGGCTGTAAACCAAATCTCTGCTAAGTAGAGTCCATGTTCCCATTAACTTCCATTAAAAGGTTGTGACTGGGTAGGACCAGAAACAATTTTTGCCCCAAGACAGTAATAAAGATCACACTTCAAAAACATTTTTTTGTGTGCTGTATTTTTCTTAGTAGGTTTTGAAAAGCCAAATGACCAATCACTCCTCAGTAATGAGATTGACCCACTGGACATTCTGGAAGCTGAATTCCTAATGGTAGAAGTGATGGGGGTGGGGTGCAGTGGGGTCAAGGTTAAGGCTAAATAATGAAAACTAACTCAGCTGTCCAAACAGAATAAATTTCTGGACCATACTTTAGAGTGTTTAGAATTGCATTTGCTTGTTTTGGTTGTCCTAGCCTTCTGGAGACTGGGACCCACATGCCTTTATATCGCCTTAAAACTCTTTCTTCCATTCTTGTTTCTCCATTGGCTGGGAAAGCTCAGTCAGCAATGGCTAAATGACTAGATGACTGGCAGTTTCCAGTAGGTACTATTCTGCTTCGGTACTTTCTGCTTCCCAAATCCCGAATCTACCTGTGGTGCTCCTCCCCGTGGCCTAGTCCCAGGGCCGGAGTTTTGAGATTAACTAAGACCTATGACCGTAGCGGGCTTCCCAGGTTGATCTGTGCAGGTCATTAGTGCCTCCAGGAGAGCCTTTGCTTTGTACAGAACACGCTGGAAGCCCGGTGCCTGCCAGGAAGTTTATGCTCTACTTTTCTACAGTCAGTCCAAGTGGTTCCTCTGTCATCTGTGGAGTCAGACCCACCTGCACATCATTTTAATGTTGGCTTTAAAACATGGGCTTGTCTTTTTTAAAGATTTTATTTATTTATTTGACAGAGACACAGCGAGAGAGGGAACGCAAGCAGGGGGAGTGGGAGAGGAGAAGCAGGCCTCCCGCGGAGCAGGGAGCCCGATGTGGGGCTCGATCCCAGGACCCTGGGATCATGACCTGAGCCGAAGGCAGCCGCTTAATGACTGAGCCACCCAGGCATCCCGGGCTTGTCTTTATTCACCATCTCAGGTTCATGTTCTGGGAAGGAAAATACATATAATATTTTAAAAGAAGAAAAAAATGACCTTTTTATTAGCTAGATAGGATGATAAGAATTAGCAAAACTAAAATTTCAGGCTCAATTAATGCTATTTGTTTCTCACAGATCAATGGTCAAATTTTATATGGAAGAAGTCATCAGAATGCTTCTTCAATCATTAAATGTGCTCCTTCTAAAGTAAAAATAATTTTTATCAGGTAAGCATTTTCTTTTTTTAGTTTACTAAATACTTTTTGTTAGTCTTTCAATTCAGAGTTCTTTTAAATGAAAATAAAACATTTCTAAATGTCGGAGTGTGTTATAGTCCCAGGTCTTTGGGGTTGCAGAATTTTCTCTAATAATCCTTCTGAATCTTCAAGTAAAAGAATGAAAATAATATGAATCATTATGCTATGATAGGTCATTGCTTTTTCTTTTAGAAATAAAGATGCGGTGAGTCAGATGGCTGTATGTCCTGGAAATACAGTAGAACCTTTGCCTTCTACCTCAGAGAATTCTCAAAATAAGGAGGTATGTATCTTGTGTTTGTTTCTCTGGGAAGATTTGATTGATACACTATGTATTAATTCAGCGAACAATTATAGAGCCCTTACAGGAATATTAAAGATAAATGACTCCTGGTCTTGGCCCCCAAGGAGCCTAGTACAAGAAACGCTCATGTAAATAACCACACCACTTCCATGAAGAGTCTGCATAGGGAATAATGAAGGTAGAAAAAGTTGTTAAGTCTCCTTCTGCAGAGATAGTGACAGTGAATCCCTAGGTGAGGTGACATGTGAAGTATGTGTTGGAAGTAGAAGACGCGGGGGGCAAAAACATTCCAAGCAGACGGCATGGACTAAGGGATGGCATGCAGGCTCTGGAAGATACAGGGAAGAAGAATTGCAGGGCATCACTGAATAGTGGGGGAGGCGGGGAATGGGGAGCTGGTGAGGAAAAGGTCACTGAGAAAGGGAGATTGGGTCAGATCATGGGAAGTGTGATGGAGACTTTGTCTTTGAGGCTTAAGGAACTCAAAGAGTAAGAATTGTATTTTTAAGCACTTCTCTGGAAATAGTGCAGAGAAAAATCAGAGGTTTCAAGGAAGAGAAGTTAAGGTAAAGGGAGTAAGAAAATTATCAGAGTAGTTCAGGAGAAAGTTATTGAGGGCCTGAACTAATGCAAAAAAATAAAGAAGGAAGAAAGAAAGAAATGATTAAGTCAGTAGTTGCAGAAGTTTAGGATCCAACTTAGCATTACCTTATCCCTAACTAAATGTACTCCATGAGAAACAACAAGTGGTTGAGAATCTGTTTACCTGACAAGTTTTTATTATCTGCCCTATGCCAGGTACTGCTTTTTGGGCTGGGAATAGGCTGGTGAATGAGACAGACAAGATGTAGACAGCTTCCGGAAGCCTGACGTGGTGACTTGGTGGATGGCTGACTTTTACCAGAATAGAAAAAATTAAAAAGCAGATATTTGTAAAAATAGAAAACAGCTTTAGGGTGGAGTGCGGGTTGAAGAGCGTGGTAGAGATGTACATTGGGACATTTGGTCTAGAGTTTAGAGACGAATTCCCATAGATGCATATTTGTCATTTGTTAGCCATGGGAGCTTAGGCTCTTCCGTACAGAGAATACTTAGAAAGAAGAGGGCCAATGTCAGAATTCTTTAATAACAACAAGGAAGAAGCCTAACAAAGAGTGGTCAGAGGTAACAAGGAAGGACCAAGCAGGCACAATGCCTGGCAGCCAAGGAGGGCACATTTCAAGAAGGGTATATTCTACGATCTTGAATGCCGAGGAGAGGTCAAGTAAGGAGATGAATAGAGCCCATTGGACTTGGCAGCCAGCTGATTACTAGTGTTTTTTTTAGAAAGCAAATGATGGATAAAAAAGAAAGCATGACCTATGACCATAGCGGGCTGATTCACTAGAGCTGTGAATCAGCCCCGTCACGTAGCCTGCTGGGGGGGACGGGGGGACAAGGCCCAGAGTGTCCATCTAAGCTGCTTCAAGTTGACCAGGACACTTGGTTGAGAAATCTGAATGGGGCTGATCCCAGTGTCAGGGGTTTGGCTCTCACCTCTGTATCTGAGTCTGCACACCCTTCAGGCTGAGGACCCATGTCCCAGAAGCTTCCTCTCCACCTTTCCTGCCCTTGGAAGGGCCTGTCTAGGGGCTGGACCTGCCTCCACAGCCTCCACAGCTTCCCTCACAGCTAGAGGGTAACATAGAGTTTTTTGGTGTGCCAAAGCCTCAGATCCTTGTTAAGGATGAATAAAAGGCATAGAGAATGAAAAGCTTAAAATGAGAGGAGCCATATCATTACAGTGCAAGAAGGTGTAGAAGCAGAAACATTCTCCCCTAAAGCAGTGTGTAAGCAAGCACTGGGCTGTCTACGTGAGGAGTGTCACTCATTCTGGTGAACTGAGAAATCATTCGAATGGTGAACTGAGTTGAGTGGCTTTTCAAGATTATAAAGGAGAAAATTTTATTTTCATACAAATGGTACCACATAGAAAGCCCTTAAGAAAATGGAATATTTTTTTCCTTTTTTAAGATTTTATTTATTTCGAGAGAGTAAAACATTTAATAGCTCCTAAATTCCTGTGATGACTAACATAGGGAAGAATAGTGGGTGGTGCCTCCGCTAGTGTCCTGTGTTTCAGTGAGTCTCACCGCGGGTAGCTGGGCTGTGATGAGATCTCATTAGAGAATAAATCCAGGAAGTCTTGAGAACCGCTTTGTGTCTCTGTGTTCTGAAATAATTTTTGTCTAATCATACCGCATTAGTATTTTGAAGAGAGTATAATGTTCATAAATGTCATGAAATGTTAATTATAACACATGAAATAATTTTGATTAAAGTGGCCCTTATTAAGCAAACAAAAATACATAACACTCAGTTGCCCATTTTACCATTTCTTCCCCTCTGTCAGGCTGAGCCAAGTGGTACTACTTCCGATGCAGCTGTGGACCTCTGTTCATTTAAAAATGTGCAACATCTGGAGCTTCCCAAGGTAAATCTGCCTTGAATTGGGATTTTTACACCAGTGATCTAATTCGCTGGTTCTCAGAATTGTGGTCTCTAGACCAGCAGCATCAGCATCACCTGGGATCTTGTTAGAAATGCAGATGTTTGGGCCCACCAAAACCTATTGAATGAGAAATTCTGGGGGTGGACCCGCAGTTTGCATTTTTATAAGCCTTCTAGGTGATTCCAATGCACACAGACACTTGAGAATTACTGTGTTAATTGATACTTTAACGGGAACTAAGCTTTTCCTGCCTTTATGATTATCCCAAGGTATGACATTTGGCAGTCTTTCTCTTTTTTTTTTAAAGATTTTATTTATCCATTTGAGAGAGAGAGAGAGAGTGAGAGAGCACGAAAGTTGGGTGAGGGGCTGAGGGAGAAGCAGACTCCCCGCTGAGCAGGGAGCCGGATGCAGGACTCGATCCCAGGACCCTGGAGATCATGACCTGAGCAGAAGGCAGATGCTTAACCGGCTGAGCCCCCCAGGCGCCCCACTCCTTTGATACATTTACCAAGGGCCTGCTGTAGAGGAAATAAAAAGAAGAAAGAAACAAATTATAGTCTTTGTCCTTCATAAAACTCAAAGTTCGAATAGCTAGAAGTTTCACTGATAAGCATCAGTGAAGTATTTACTTTTGAAAAGATTTGGACCTTAGGTTCAAATGACCACTTTAGAGAGGTGGTTTGCTGAACAGAAACCTACAAATGCTTTCAGGTTCTGCAGGCTCATGCTGAAATGCAGGCAGGGACAGGGGTGGATGAAGAAGAATATTTGCAGAGAGAGCAGCAAAGTGCTCAGGGAGAAGAGGAAGGCAAGCCAGGGGGTGGGCGTGGAGCAGGGGTATATTTACTGCAGGCAGAAAGAAGTGGCCAGAGGCCACTGTCCAGTTCTGAGACAGTGCAGCATGGTGCTTACAGGCCTTGACTCCAGAATCTGTGTTCAGCCCTTGCTTCCTCAGGTATACATCTGACACATTATGTGATGTTCTTTTGCCTCAATTTTTTCACCAGTAAATTGGAGATGATAATATTACCTTTGACCTAATTGTAAAGATTAAATGAGTCCTTTGTAAGTAGTTGGCATAATGCCTGACACACAGTCAGACTTTTTAAGCAAAAAAAGACTGTGATGCTATTGATTTGGTTTTGTTTTTACAATAAATGTGTGCAAAATGGATTGCCCTGGTCTTACTTACAGTACATTTAAAAGAAGTCGTTATTGCACACACTTTGTGTTGTAGGTAGAAGGAAAAGAACAGAAGTCATTAAAGCTTTTTGCCTTTTCTACCAAGAAGTTCATACACTTCAGTTCAGGATCCCTCACTCTGTTGCCATTTGAGAGAGAAGATACCTTCTTTTTTCCCCTGTTGATTACAGATTTTTCCTTTTCCTCCTAAATCCCAAAGTATCAGAATTTATTTAAGAGTGCAGTCATTTCCCTACAATTTGTGAATTATGAAGCATTTAAATGTATGCTGGATTCATTATAATAAATGTTTTTTTTAAAAAAAATATATAGGTTTATGCTTATCTTTACAAAAGCCCAAAATAAGATCATTTTTTTTACATGCCTTTCATGGCATTGGCCTAATTTATTTACCTAGAGTTTAGAACATCCTAGAATATAATGAGTGCCCAGGAAATGTTGGGAGAATGACCCTGTTAAACAGATGCAGTATGAGCAAAACACTCTAGTGGTTGAGCTTGTAGACCAAAGCCAAACCTTCTGGGTCGGAGCCCTCCTTTGCCTCTTACAAGCTGCTGGCTGGGACCTTGGACAGGGTTCTTAATCTGGACAATTTTCCCTCTACCAAGTGGAGATAATAATAGTACTCATCTCCTACATTTGTAGTGAGAATTAAATATATATTGTGTGAAGAGTCCAGTACCTTGGACTCATATATAAATACTGCCTGTTTTTTTTTATTGTTATAATTATTAGGAAAGAATAAGCTGGCAGAGAGATGTCTGACTGCTTTCTGGTACCAGTTTTCTGTGATGCTGTCTCCTCCTGTCTTAGGCTACCTGATTAAGGTGTTCTGTAGATGTTTAATCGCCCTAATCCCCTATTCAGAATCTTTCAAGGACCTCCATTCTCAAACAGATAAATTCAAGTCTCTTGGCCTGGCATTCAGCAGTGGGGGGGTTGTGGGGGGAGCAGGGACAGAGGCCTGCTTTGTCTGTCAGAGGCCCTTCTGAGTGACCTCTGATAAAATATTTGGAAACTTGATCTCATTGGTCCCCACTTCTCTTCTGTAAATGGGGCTGCCTGTATCAGGGGTTACTGTTGGGATTCTTTAAGCTAATGAGCAAGCTCCCTTCATTCTACAGCTGGTCTCTGCCTTTAGCCTCCTGCTGACTTAATCAGCAGGTGTCTATTATGTGCACTTCCCTTTCTGAAGTAGTTGCTGTAGGGGAATCCAAGAACTTGAAGAAACTTCTAATTTTATTGCTCACGGAAAGCTTCCATTTATACATAGGTTTCAAGCAAATCTAAAGCTCAGGTAACTGAAATGTATTTTATTGATGAAGGCCAAAGTGAATAAGGGGGAATATTCAAGAATCTTTTAAAATCAGCTGACATTAGAAGCAATCAACTATGACTTCAAGTGTGGGCTTTTGGAACCACTTAACTTTTCTGGGTCTCAGTTTCCTTGTCTGTAGGATAGGGAAATAATGAAACCTTTATATTAGAAATATTTTTGAAGGATTAAATGAAAAAATCTGTATAAAGCACTTCGTGTGGTGTCTCTCCCAGTTGGATGGGAGCCCCCAAATGTGGGCCAACAATCCTGTGGAAGCCAGTGACTCAGGAGGTGAAAGAATTCACCTGAGGCAGAACAAGGGAGATAGAAGTTTATTGAACACACCACAAGCAAGCAGCGTCCAGGGCTGCAGAGGAGAGGTTATCTGCCAGGAGGCAGTGGGTGGGGCTGTTTTTAAAGGGAGAAGGTAAGGAGGTAGGCACAGAGGTATGGAATTTTCCCTTTTTTTGGCAATTGTGCCTGGTTGTGAGTAGCCCATTGGTCAGGTAGGGCTTATGGATATTTTGAGGTGGGTCACCTGATGCGTCCATCTGTATTCAGTCAGGGGGTCGTTGTGGGCCCTTTCTACATTCCATCGCTCACCTGTTTGTCTGAAAGCGGCCTATGCTTCACACTGTTCAAGTCATTATTTTCCTTAACATTTTAACCATGAGGTTCTGAATGCTCCACAGAATGTGTGTTTAAAAACATCCTTTGAGGAGGCCCTTGCTAAAAATGACAGGTTAATGGGGCACCTGGGTGGCTCAGTCCTTAAGCGTCTGCCTTTGGCTCGGGTCATGGTCCCAGGGTCCTGGGATTGAGCCCTGCATCCGGCTCCCTGCTCGGCGGAGAGCCTGCTTCTCCCTCTCCCTCTGCCCCTGCTTGTGTTCCCTCTCTCAGCTGTCTCTCTTTCTCTGTCAAATAAAATCTTAAAAAAAAATGACAGGTTAAAAGACACAGCATACTATATAAGCCTGTCCACTCCAAACCCCATTATAAGTGGACTCTGCAAACAAAACTCAAGAAAGCAAAGAAGGGAGAATCAACCAGCCTGCTAACATTCATACCTCATCCGCAATTCTTTGTCATTTATAGCACCCTGTATTTTTAAAGATTATGATTATTTGAAAAAAATTAATGGTGAAGTCTCACGTGCATTATGTTGTTTACTTCTCAGCCACACTGTGAGATTGCTTTTATTTTCCCCACTTATAACAGTTCTCATAACTCAAAATGGTAGAGTTAGAACTTAAACTCTGGTCTTAAAGCTCCAAGTCCCATTTTCCATTCCTTGTTTCAGCTTGCGACTGGGGCCCATTTACCGTTCCAAAACACCTATATGTTTCTTATAAGAATCTTCTACTTCATTCAAACTGACTTGTATCAAGAGCCCATGGCGATTTATTTTAAGAATTCATCCCTCCTTGGGCACCTGGGTGGCTCAGATGGTTAAGCGTCTGCCTTCGGCTCAGGTCATGATCCCAGGGTCCTGGGATCGAGTCCCACATCGGGCTCCCTGCTCCTTGGGAACCTGCTTCTCCCTCTACCTCTCTCTCTCTCTCTCTGTCTCTCATGAATAAATAAATAAAATCTTAAAAAAAAAAAAAAGAATTCATCCCTCCTTGCCTTTGCTTATACAACTTGGGGTACCCTTCTGCTTTCTTTTAGATTACCTAAATCCTGTATGACTCAAGATCTAGCTTAATCTCATGTCTGTTTATTTTGAAATGTTCCTTCAATATTCTGGACTATATAATGCTTACTAGTAATGTCTTCACTTATTTGTCATTTAACTGTGCCTGGCTCAAACATGTCTCTTGTGATAAACATTCATGTGGGTAAATTTTCTATACATCTATATTGAAAACATGTTGAAAAAGAAGAAGCTGTTATATTTTTTCTACCATTATCTCATATAGTATGGGGTAGCATAGTTCATACTAAGTATGCAGGAGGGTGGAAAGGATGAAGGCTTACATGCTGTGTGCACACAAGGGAAAAATGTCAAGTACAGGGGTGTCAGGAAGGAGAGAACGGTTTTCCTAACAGTCTTAAAACAGAAATTGTAGTAACAGGTCATTTGTAGTTAAGTTCTGACTCCTTAGAAACTTTCCAGACAGGTCAATTATCTTTTTTTTTTTTTTTTAGGATAGAGAGAGTGCAAGGCTAGGGTGAAAGGGGGGTGGAGCAGGGCAGAGGTAGAGAATCTTTTTTTTTAAGATTTTTTTTTTTTAATTTATTCATTTGAGAGAGGGATGGAGACAGAGACAGAAAGAGCTCAAGCAAGGGGGAGAGGCAGAGGGAGAGGGAGAAGCAGGCTCCCTACTGAGCTGGGACCATGACATGGGGATATGGGGGCTCCATCCCAGGACCTGGAGATCATGATCCGAGCCGCTGAAGGCAGACCCTTAACCATCTGAGCCACCCAGGCGCCCCTGTAGAGAGAGAGTCTTAAGCA